CATCGTTTGAAAGCTGAAATGATGTATACGTGAGCGGAAAAAGTTCAGTAGAAAATCTGTACTGAAGTGAAGATAGTCTTCTCAGGCCTGCTACACGAATCTTTAACGAAATTTTTGTGATTAACTCCTCAAGAGTGATGTTTCTCTTCAAGGTTAACTTAATTTCTCCATCATACAAAACAACAGCAGAAAGACGACTCATTTTCAGAGAATAGAGGATTGAGATTTTTGAGAAATATAGAGTTTGAGAATTTCAAAGCTTGTGAACTGAAGTTGGTTTTGAAAGTTTATAATATGTTGCATATAATAGTGTCTATAACCGGGGTACTATTCACGTGAAGGCGCATTCCGGGGGGCGCGCCTTCCGTTATTTTATCAGAGAATATGTTATCATTGCCCTATTATGTCACTTATGTCCCCCGGGAACTATTCATGTCAATACCTATTATTCATTAGGGGACCATGAAGGCGCGTTCTCGGGGGGGCGCCTTCCATTATTTTGTCAGAGAATATGTTATCATTGCCCTATTATGTCACTTATGTCCCTCGAGAACTATTCATGTCAATACCTATTATTCCTTAGGGAACCGTGAAGACGCGTTCCCGGGGCGCGCCTTCCATTATTTTGTCAGAGAATATGTTATCATTGCCTTATTATGTCACTTATGTCCCCCGGAAACTATTCATGTCAATACCTACTATTTCTTAGGGGACTTTAAAGCACGTTCCCGGAGAACTAAAGATGTATGGTGAAATCAGGTAAATTATAACCAAATTTAACTTTTGGAAGTTCAACAAGTTAAGGATAAAATTATACATATAGATAAATTTAAGTTCATAATTTAAATTAAAACGTTATGTGAAGTTTGAATAAATTAGATAAAATGTTATGGATAAATTGAATAAATGTGAAGTGATAAGTTGATTGTGACATTGAAATTGTATGGAATGAGCATCAACATGTTTTTACGAATAAATGTGAAGTGATAAGTTGATTTTAATGTATACGTTTTAATATATATGTTAATGATAAAATCATATGTATGGATAAATTTAATTTCAATTTAAGTACTGTGAACAATAATTGGAATATAACTTTTAATTTCGAATACAATTGAAATATTAAGTTGAATTTAATATTAAATTTCGAATACTATAATTTATATTTTAATTTTAAATTTCGAATAATATTATTTGTATTTTAATTTTAAATTTTGAATACTATAATTTTTATTTTAAAAACTTTTTATTTTAAATTTGAATAAAAAATAACATTAAAAATATTGGCAGTAACAACCATGAAACATTTAAATAACATAACCAAATTACATAAATTTCTGAAATATAACTATTTAAATAACATTAAAATATAACTGGATCACCAATGTCGTCTTCTCGAATGAGTTCCACATGACGGTGGTTGTCTATTTCGCGGAGGATTTCTTCGTGGAACTTGTTCTTCAGTCTCCTCATCTTCACTATCATCATCATCGGCATTTTCTTCATTTGGCGTAGATGACGCTGAAGGGGTTGAAGGGCCTGTATAAAATAACGACCCTGGAGGAGTGCTAGTAACAATCCCACCGCTCCCCGGGAACTGTGAAAACTGTGGAAACATTAGTATCGATGTCTGTGATCCAGATGGAGATTGAGGTGTCTATGGAGAAGCACCACCAGCCAAATAAGATGCATATGAACCATATGTTGGATCGTTAAACATAGCCGTATATGTACCTCTATATGGTATAAAACCCTGCGGGCTAGGCATGTAACCTGGCGGGCTAGGAATGTAACCCTGCGGAGATGACATATGAACTGGTGGGCTTGGCATATACCCCTGAGGAGATGGCATCTGAAGTGGAGGGATGGGCATGTACCACTGTGGCATCGGTGGATAAGGATGTTGTGGTGGGACTGATGCAGAACCGGTAGCGCCTTCTCTCCGTCCACGCGTCGGGGGACGATGATATTGAGACGGTTGACGTCTTTCTCGGCGCCTAGGAATGCTAACCCCTCGTGCTTCCGCAGAAAGTAGAAACGACTTCCTATTTTCATTAAACCAGTCCATATAGTTATCCGTAACCATATGACCAATTTCAGCGTAATATTTTTGAGAGGCCAACTGTGCATATCAGTTCTCCCAAAGCCCAATCCAATCTTTGTGTCTCACCACCCAGTTAACCTTTTTATTTCCTCGTCTATCTATGTTATGCACGTCGTCTAAATTCCTAGGTGCTCCAGGAATATATTGCGTACAACCATACTGACGGAGCACGCGATCAACTGGATGCCACTCAATAATAGCATAACATATAAGAGGTATAACCGATATCCAAACCTCTAATGACCCACCAAGGTGGGGTGAGATGCAAGCCTTCACTTCATCGCTCGCATAAGGTATCCATTGAAACTGAAATATAAATATACAATTCAAATAAATAAAATATTCTAATTATATCTAGCATTTTAAATTAAAATATTAATATTTAAACAGGTGTAAAAACATACCTCAGACCCAGCTTTTGTATCAATAAGTAGACTAATTTCCTCTAACCTAGTAGGTATACTTCTATAGTTCTTTCTTTTCATCGACCACCTATGAAATATAAAATAAACTAAATATCACCCTATTTAATTAAAAATATTTAAATCAAAATTTAGTTCAAAAATTACCTCAATAATAAGAGGAATATGTATGGTTCATTCACGATCGGGCATAAGAAAGGCACGCGGAACCACGCCCATGATTACAGAAGCAGGAGACATCCACCGATAGCAGTTTTCTTATAATTCGTCGCCCGACACATTTCTCTAAAGAGAAATGTCAAAACTGCAACGCCCCAACTATATCTTTCAGCTTCATCAAAATCGATTCAGATGCCGCAACCACATACAATGCACCTGGTTGCAAGATTTGTCGGGCATCAATATTCCTCCAATTATTCGTAGAATATATGCCCGAGCACATGTCTTTGCTTGATCCTCTGAAGCATTTTCATTTAAAACCTCAAAATTAGCTTTCAACCAAGATAAAGTTATTCTACCTCCATTAAACTCTGGCGAAACAGCTCCAAGATAATCCATGCACATTGACTGCCAATCACCATCCGCCATACCACACATCATATTTCCGTCGACGGGAAGCCCCAGATGCATAGAGACATCCTTCAATATAATTGTAGCCTCTCCACATGGAAGGTGAAAAGTGTGTGTCTCGGGCCTCCACCTCTCAATCAATGCAGAAATTAGGACATGTTCGAGTTTGCAACCGCCAATAATTGTTGCAATATATCTGAACCCGACAGAAGCCAAATATGGCAAAATACGTTCCGGTGTCGGTATACGTGGATTTTTAATAAATGTATCTAAAATACGATCAGTATCCTAAATAATATGCATTATAAAAAATTAAAATTAATATAAATTCATAAAAAATTTAAATTAAACATAACAATAAATATTAACATTAATTATAAAAAAAATATTACCATATCGCTAAAATGTCTGGAGATATGGTCAGCATCCAATCGCAGCAGCATTTCACTTTCCATTATAACTGTAGACAAAAAAAATAATTAGGACAAAAAATAGTTAATTAATAAATTTAAATAAATAATAATTATATATAAATATTATTTTTAATAAAAAAAATAATATTTATATAATTATATTAATATAAAATATAATAACTATTTTTAAAAAAATACTAACTGAAAAATAAATTTCTTACCACTAATAAGAAATTTAAAACTCAAAGATTTAGAGAATTTAAGTTATATAATAAAGGAGAAGATGATTTTGGTGTGAAGAATGAGAGGAGGTTGAGAGGGTTTATATAGGGGGAGGAGGATGGGTAGTTGGGGAAAAATCGGATGGGCATTTAAGACATTTAATGAAAGGCGCGTTCCCAGGGATGCGCCTTTCACACGTGGCAACCGAATCAGCAAAATCCCGTGAAGGCGCGTCCTCGGGGATGCGCCTTTCACACGTGGCATCAAACTCAGCGTAAAATCAGGTAAAACGAGTCCCCGGGGATGCGCGTCCCCGGGGATGCGCCTTTCGCCACCTCAGCCGAAAGGGTACCACTTCGAAAAATATATGTCAAACGATGTTAAAAAAGAAGATATTCGATTAAACGGTGTCAGTTTGGTCAAATCGTCATTAAATTGTATCACCGTCCAAAGCAAAGTTTCATCCAAACAAATCTATGTTAGAAAAAGGGTAAATTACATTTTGTTATCATTCAACTTTCTTCTCATTCTTATATTGGACATTAAAGTTTAAAAATTTTTAATTTACTTACTAGACTTTTAATTTATTCTTATTATAGTCCTTCAACCATTAAGTACTTAACGATATTATGATTGGATATTTTTATTTTAAAATTTATGAAATTGCCCAAAACAATTTTTTCAATTTTTGTAAAAAAATCTTATAGTTATAAATTCCCTTTGATTTCTCTATGATCAAATATCTTCTTTCAAATCTCAATAGCGGAGAGATGGAAAAGAAAGAAATGAGTTGTATATACCAAGAATTTAATGAATAAACTATTTTTTAAAAAAACTTTAATAATCGAAATAAGAATGAGAAAAAAATCGATTGATGAAATTAATAATTTATCTTTATAAGAATTAGGGTTAAGTGCTCGTATTAGGTTGACAATTTAAAAGTTGATCAGGAGTTGACTTTCAAAAGATTAAATAAGTTAAGATTTTTAAATTAAGTTAAATAAGGTTATATTATATACATGCAAAGTTAATCATGCAAAACATCTTTAAATTAATCTTAGATTCTAAATAGTTCAAAACTATCAAATATTCTAATTAATTCGTAATATTATAATTTAAATATATAATAAAAAATTCTAAATTTCAATTAAATATCATAAAATATTAAGAAATTGATATATCGATCAATCAGCATAATTTTAATCGAAGTAAATTTGTAATTCGACTGCATAGATGTATGTAGTTTTACTAAAAGTATATACACATGCGCTGCTCGAACTCAGATCACTAAAGGAGAATAAAATTATTTCAACAACAGTTTCTCCGGATCAACAGCCTCTTCGATATTACAGTAATGTTCTCTTTTTTTAGCCCATAACACCACGTATAGACCAGTGAACATCAGGAACATTCCTGCAATACTGCATTATAACAAAGATTTTGTTCAATATGTATGTACGTTTAGTGCTTACCTTCCTAATGAAATTGTTCCCCCCAAAGTAATAACAGAGAGGACTGCAATGACTGTTCCAATGGGGCTGAACATTGAGACAAGAACTGGTCCCCTCTTCTTAATTTCCCATCCATTGAAGCTTAAACATGCTCTGCCCATTGCACCTCCCTGCGCATCCCGAATCGGATACATAAATATATCCGATACTGGCATCGGATCACGAATATTTCAACAAAAATGAAAGAGTCAGGAGCAACATTATCTGATACATGCTTTTAGCATACGAGAGAGCTTACAAGTAGAGAAAAGGAAATCAGGTCCTTGACACTAACAAGGGGCGAACTCCATTGCAAAGAATGGTCTTGAACCAACTGAAGCACCGCTGTCACGATCATTCCGATTAGAGAGGTTATCGCACGCAGGGACGTCGGCGCAGGCAAATCGACCAATGTTGTTGCCTGCAAAACACTACATTTCTTAGCTAAGAAAAAAGAAGCAAAAAGGAAAACAGTACCATTGATGGTTTTGAAGAACGAATATAATCATATATACTAGCAAGACAACATTGATTGATAGAACCAAGACAGCTGCAACGAGGTACGAGCAACCGACGATCTTATCTCGGTCGAAAACGGTATGACGATGAGGATCATTAGTTTGGGAAGGCATGAATGTTGCATCATTTGGTGACACAGTGCTCTGCATTAGGCTCATTGTAAGACCACCTAAGACACACAGGATTGTGCCTGCAATCTTCACTTTACTGTATAAGCAACTTAGATCAACTTTCTCTAACCTGCATTAAAAGGAACCTATGACCTCAAGAACTTAAAAACAGCGACGGAATTAGGATCAAATATCGTGTTACGTAACGTCGACATCAACAGTCAAGTAGTCATGTTACCTGCAAGTCCAAGCAATGATGAAGATAAGGCCTGGAGCAAGGTTTGGCATGGCTGTTGCCAATGCAGGTGATGCTAGATTTACCCCCTTCAAGAATAGTAACTGGAATAGACTTACCCTGAGACAAACATTAATCTCGACATTATCGTATTCGTATGTCATTATTTGATACATTGACTGTGTATATTCCATATTTACTCGATGTGCATATATAACTTTACTATAAATTAATGAAAATCATTTTACAGACCCTGCAAAGGAGATCAGCAGTAGTCGAATCATCAACTTCAAAGTCAATTGTTTAGGCCATTTGCTCCTGAAAAATCAAACACCACACGATCATGGACGACAAGCTTTTGCAATGATAATAATCTCCAGAAACCAGAAAAAAAGGGAAAAAGAACCTTTCAAAATAAAGAGCAAAAGGAAAGAGAGAAATGAAGGTTGCAAAGGAGAAGAAAATACAATGGTGAAAGGCTTAAGGCCAAGCGTCATTAGATATCCGAGCAACACTGAGTTCGCCGCGAAAAACAACTGCACCCCCACCAATCCTCCTACTATCACAGCTTCGTTCTTCACGTTCTCCATGACCATCGCCATCTTTAATTATTTTCCTTCACTTTCCTTCCTTCCAAACAACCCCTAAGCTCACTCATCTCTAAAACAACTACACAGATGATCAAACCCTTTCTTCTTTCTTTGAGATTATAATATACATATTTATTAAAGTTAAAAAATGTTTTTTAGTTAACAGCCTTTCATGAAAGAGGCTCCGCCCATATGTCTTTCTATCTCTTACGGATCACTTAGCTAACTTTCTCTCCTACCAGTCTTCTCTTTGCAAGAGGTTGACGATGATGATATGATACTTCCGTTTTTTTAACGCATTTTTCTTTTCATAGCTTTCGTTCTTTTATTTGGATTTTTATTTTGTAACAATAAGACTATCACGTCACGTTATTCCAAAATTAAAATATTTATTTAAAATTTAATTACAAAGCATATTTAATTTATCGGTGATGCATAAAAAATTATAACAATAAACGGGTATATTAAAATTATTAAGATATTTTACATATTTAAATGTTATAAATAGAATTATAATTATAATAGTTATCATCAATAAAAACTTAGTGAATAAATTATATTTAAAATTATATAATTATGAGTAATATAATAAATATTTTTTTTTTAAAAATAATCACAAGCACAAATTATTTGGGAGTTTTAAAAAAAATTATTCTAATTACCTCATATTAATCAAAAAATAATCACAAACATGTCATTTAATTAAAATATTATTGTTGTGGGTATTTATTATCGGATATTCGTATTTTCGGGTACCCAAATTAAAAAATTAAAAGAATAGTTGTAAATTCATTTGAGACATAGCATAATCTGAATCACAATAAATATATAAAAAGACTATAAATAGTAAAATTAATTTTAGTTCCACATTAATCATATACTGTTAAGTAGAATAAACACAAACATAACAATGGTTTCTTTACTTTGAAGCAACCACTTTGATCTATTCAATCTGGGTTTACATAAGCAGAGATGAAAAGAATTCATGCAATGGTCAATGAAAATTAGGGTTAGAGAGATGGGAAGACATTTTCACACATCTGTCAATAGTAAAGAAGATACAATCACCACATATGCAAGGAAAAAGAAAATCGCTATCTGAATGAAGAACTTCGGGTTTTCCCTCATGTTCGGAGATGTTACCGCCCTGCAAACATGATCGAATCCATTCGTTTCATTGGACCTTGATAATAGAAGATGGAGGATAATTAACTGTGATTCAGCTGGGGTTTTTTTTATGGAATTCATGCTGCAACCACACATTACCTTGCAATTCGCTGTGAAAATCGATGAAATGGCAAGCTCTGAATGAATACGATACCAGGCCCTGTTATAACGGCTGTCACCAAATTGTCGGCCTGCGATTTCAGATAGAAAAGAACATAAAAAATTATAAGGCTGGTGATTAAGCAAAGTCCAGGAAGTGGACTGAGACAATAGAAGTAGGATTATAATGGTTTTCATGTGCAGCTATCAAGCATAAAAACACAAATCGTAACACGAAAAGCACATATGCATCAGCAGTCCTACACAACCACTATCATATTGAGATAGTGCAAAAAGAATAACCGAAAGCAATCACCCCAAGGACTGGTCTTCTTATTGGACCATTGTATTTGATTTGAACATCGATGGAAGTAGTAAGGGCTGCAATGCATGAGACATCAACTGCCAATACCTCGCCGGCCTCAAGATTTTTCTGCACAACTAGCAAAATAAAGAACCCATGGTTTAGCTAGGGAGACCAACTTCAACATTATGCTATAACTAGCATAACGGAATACGATATCAATGACTGCTAAAGCAACAACAAAAGGAGTTCTGTTCTTTGTGTTTTCTTCTTTTACCTTCCTGGGAGGGAAGGGGAGAACAAAAACATCAGAGAAAAAAGAACATGGAAAAATGAAACTAATGCATGCTCTTATATGACCTGTCATGAAACCACAAGAAAAAGGTAAGAAGAAATCAGGGTATCTTTTGAACTTAGTAAGTCTAATAAAATATTAGGATGGATTAAAAATATACATACCAGAACCACCAGCAATGATAAACGCAAGACCCTGTCCAGATAACTTCTGCCTCAGAAATCCCTGTTATGCCAGTACAACGTCCATCAAATACACAGATAAAAACAGCTTTAAAAAGTTGGAGAAATAAACCAGAGAAATAGAAACACATATCAGAAAATGATATTTGAAAAATGATATTTGAAAAATGATATTTGAAAAATGATATTTGAAAAATGATATTTGAAAACACAGCTTGAGAATAAATTTTAGAGAAGGGAAAATGCAAAAAAGAGTCATCATTATGTCACCTCCAAACCAGTTACAGCATTCCGCGGCCACTGATCAACTGTATTACTGACTTTTACATCATTGACGGAGCAAAGAAATGCATCTGGCTACAATACAAGTTTACAAGGTTACATAAAAGTTCCAGTCGGTGGAATGAAATCCAAGCTAATCATGCAGCAAAAAATGAATCTCTATGCCAGCTATTGGAGTTCTTAACTTTTTTTTTGGATAGAAATTGGAGTTCTTAACTTCAAATGAGAAGTAAGGAGAAAGGTCAACAAATAGTTGGAGGAAATAAAAGGAAAATGAGCAGTTAACAAGTCAGTTACCTGACATAAAAGCTGTCCACCAAACATTGCCAAGTCAATCTGTCAAATAAACATGAACCAGAAACAACAGAAAACTCATGGTTACTCACAAAAAAGTGACAATTCTGGAATCAGGAGGCACTCAAATTCACCATCTGCTATAAATATAAAAATTGTTGACATTTAGTGAGTTTAAAACACAAACCGGAAGAATCCTTGCGAGAGAAGGTGCAGCAATTCCAACAAACCCATCATTTGGACCAGGGTTGCGAAGAGCGATACTAGTTATACTCTTGCCGAAAAACCATTGCCACATGCTTACCTCATTTTCAGGGACATAAGTGTTTTCCATTTCAATGGACCCAGACGTGAAGCACATGGATCCTACATTTTTTTTATGTTATTTCCTTTGCAGTTTTGCATATAAAGTTTTCATAATAACAAACAGCAACTTATGCAGCAAATCAATCATGTTATTAATTGAGCAGTCCTTAATGTTCTTCAGCAGATGATCTAATTCATATGAATTTGATGATTATATGAAACTACAAAGGCATAAGAAGAGATGGTTTAAGTTGATAGTACAGTACAGTAGTATCTCCTCTGTACTGAAGCTGACACATGCAAACACTATACCATTCATAGTATCATATATTGTAGATAGCATAAAACAGTAGCCTTTCAAATTGTAGAAAAAATCAGGGCTGAGTGCGCAGAATCCAACAAACCCCAACCGTTCATAAGGAGACGACCAAACGTAAGTGCATAATCACCAGACTACTAGAACTATGATGAAGGCATACATCACGGCAGCATCAAGACCCTGATTCCTACATTAAAACATAAAACTAGTACAGAGAGCAAAACAACCGACCGGGTTTTGCAATAACCTTTTCTTGTGGCTTCAACATTATCTGGTAAATTAAAGAACCAAAAAAAAGAAAAGAGTTTACAATCATAGGCACAGCATTACAAGCGTAAGCACTAAAAAATCAAGATAAAAAGCTAGGAAGTACCTGAACAATTTGAGCCTCACCACCCAATATTTGAAATGGGATCACAGCATCTTGCTGACTCTACACAATTTTATACCAACATGAGATTGTTACTCACGCCGAAACATTTGGATTACACAATATTAACATTCTAAGTACCATAAATTTCCTCTACAAGAAAAGCTGGAAAAAAATATTTCCATTTCCCGAATTTGCATTAATACTAGCTACTCTCACAATTTGATTATAAAGATGTTTACATACAACTTAATTATAAACAGATCAATTTCTAAAGAAATAGGGTCAAAGTCGACTGTATTTAAGGAAACCCCAATTTGTAAATATCTTCAACAAGGCGAGAAAAAGCTCATAACAGATCAAATGCCAAAGCAGAGCCTAAATACGATAATTTCATGCCCAAAGAAACAAAGCTCAATTTTCTTCTGATTTCACTTCAATTTTCTCATGGAACAGAACAAAACATCAGTGACAGAGCGAAATCAAAATACAAACAGAAGAAATCTAAAAAAAAGAGGCAAAAAAATGTTACCTGATAAACGTAGGGTTGAAAAGGAGTAGAATAAAAAGGGGCAGCCATGGAGTGATCTCAAGTTAGCAATAAAATCCTTTGATGCCCAGAGTTTAATTTTTGCTTCAACACTTCCTATCACTAATCCAAGAGCTACAACATCAAAAATGAGGTGGAAATGTTCTTTTTTTAAATGTTCAGGCTTGATCTTTTTCTAGGAGCACCGATCAGAGACTGGGTTTGGGGATTTAAGTCATTTCCATATGGGAATGAGATGAAGCTTGTGATTGTGATACCATGGGCGAAACGAAATGCTCCTTGCCTTCTTTGGTTTTATGACAAGTAAAATTACACCACACGTCTATGTTTTATGAGTATGTTTGTATTGGTCTTCATATTTCAAAAAGTCACAATTAAATTATTTTATTTATTGAATGTGACAATTAGGTCTGAATTTGATGATAAAATTATTTGATTGTTATAATAGATAAAATGAAATCATCTGTATTTTTTGAAAATATAATGACCAATTGTAAATATACTCATAGTTATAATTTATTTTTTATATATATTATAATAAATATTCTTTTTAATTTATTTAATGATTATGACATGATATGTGATGACCTATAAGACAACGTACTCATAATAATGTAATTTACTATTTACTCAATAAATAGGGTAAATGTGATTGTTGTTTTTTTTTTTTGAAAAAAGGTTTTGTATTCGATTATATGCAAATACAAAACGGAACAACAGTTTGGGTCTCGTTAAAAAATCCCCCTAATCCTAGATGGAGTAAAAATAATGCACCAAGAGTTGTCAAGAGTTTGCACCATCCGGATATAGTTTACATAGCTGCAATCAAATAGGCCAGCCTTACTAAACTGCACTTGAGGTGAAACCTCAAAAAACAAACCATGACAATGAACCAAAAATCTTTCACACTCACCCACCATTATAGCAGGCAATAAACCAAAATCTGAACCTTGACTTCACACCTATAAAACAATGCATCCAACATGGCATCCACAGAAAGCAGCTCCAAAGTGACATCATTAAGGAGAAAACAACCATCAAATGCAAAAACCAACAACAGTCAGCATCGAAGGCCAATTAATATTGCACCAGATTCAAGCACAAGGAAAAACAAGTATCGAAGACCATGGCAACAATAAGAGCTAAGATAAAGCCAACATCACTCCCCTACAACATCAATGAAAACTCCAAAAGGGATTTACCCCGATCCACAAAACACTAGACTTATAACAACACATCGCACAATAGAATCCTCAACAATCACATTAGTTGTACATGTCTAATTTCCTACAATCAACACAAACAATGACTACATGCACCTTGCCAAAAGCACAACACATATGAAGGATGCACCAGACTCATTGATGTCATAGAATCTTTTAAATCCAATTTAGTTCAAAGTTAAAAAACCTCTTGAAAATTCATTCACAGATAGAAACTGTAACATCCTCCATACCAGGTTAGTGATCAAATTGTGAGATTTAAAAATTTAGTGACCAAATTGGATAAATTAAAAAGTTAAAAGAATTGATTGAAATGTTTTGTGTAGGAGCAATTAGCAAAGAAGGATTTTAATACCCACGTGGAAGACAATTGGGGAAAACCAAAGTTCTAGATTTCTCTTCTTCTTCATTCTTCTTCTCCACCGTGAAGCCAAGCTAAAGGTGAGTTTTCTTGTTGATCAAATTCTTGATGAATTTAAGGTTGCTTATTGATCATTAGATGATAACAAAGCTTAAGGAAAGCTTAGGTTATCTTAAAATCAAAAGAGGATGGAGTTAGGAAGGATTAAAGAAATGAAGTAGAAAAGTGAAATCTTGGAATAGAGTTCATAATAAGAATTGGAAGTGGGATTTGACTTGTCATCAAGCCAATTAAGGAATATGAAGTGTTAGAATTAGATTAAGAACATGTTGGAATTTGAGTGAGATTCTTAAATTCTATATGGAGAATTAGATTTCTAAGTTTTAGAGGTATGGAATGGACAATAATTAGTTTAAGTAAGAGTATGCAAGTTAGGGATATAAAAGGAGGTGAATTATGTAGTGTTGAGGGGATTATGAAGGGATTTCGTGCTAAAAATGACATTTCTAGGTAATGTGCATCGATGCACATTCAATGTGTATTGATGCATCAAGGATAAATCCCAGAAATTGTTCAAGGTGTATTGATGCACATGAAGTGCATCGATGCACTACTTTAAAATAAAAACATCGAATGCCATCAGTGTATCGATGCACAAGTAGTGCATCAATGCACCCCCTTAAATACAAACATCGAATGGGATTTATGTATCGATGCATAGATAGTGCATCGATGCACCCGTCAAGGGATGCATTGACGGGTGCATCGATACATGGTGTAGTGCATCGATGTATTCCTTCATTAAAAGATGAAAATGACTTTTCTTTTAGCCTAAGGAATGATAGTTTAGAATATATTAATTAGTATACTGATAAGTATCAATGAATTACTATGTAGATACATAGCCTACACAAGTTCCATAGCGATTACCCAATAAGATCGATCGAGGAAAAAACAAAGAAATATATGTGAGTGCATATGCATAACATGATTATAGCGATATATTCAGTTCTAGACTTGTGAGAAGTCTAGATTCAATACATCGATGCATGATTTATTTCATATTATGAAGCATGATATGAATTCATATTATGTGCATTGTGTAACATGTTTTAAATGAATATGTATGCAAAGTTATATGAGCCCTGTGATGAAGGTAAGGAAATGATATGTCTATGTGATATACTATGTAATTTGGGAAAAGCCCATGTTATGTAGATGAGAACTATAGGTATAGTTGGCATGCCAAGAGTAGAGGGTCTACGCTGTCCTTCGGGACATATATGTATTCTTTGGAACATGTGTGAGGTCTTTTGAGACACATACTTGATCCTTGGCATATGTATATGATTCTTAAGGAATTTTCTACGTGGTCCTTAGGGACAATCTTATGTGGCACTAAGGTGCAATTCTACACGGCACTTCGGTGCAATTCTACGTGGCACTTCGGTGCATTTATATGAGCTGTGGTGACAGCATAGTGCACAACCTCACAGTACTCACATACCTTAGGTTCTTAGTATTGTATCATGGGCCAATAAACTTATTAATTCGAATTCATGAATGTTAATGTACTATGCTTATAGGTAAGGAACATGATGATATAATTGCATGGTTAAGTATTTGATTTCATCTCATTCCATTTTATTATGGCATTTTCATTACATTTCTTTGTTGTTATTATTATTATATTGCCTCACTAAGTCGATGACTTAGCGTGTGAGTTTTTCACACGTAGGATCCGAGAAACTAGACGAGACCGGTTAAGCAACTGGACAACACTACTCCTGTAACTATCAGATCAGAGGCAACTTAATCAGTAGGTCCTTTTGTTATGTAAATTAATGTTGGCATGTAAACAAGGGTCAAGTTGTGTATGCTCTGAGTATTTTGATAAACTTGTATTAACATATGTATATTATTATATTTTAATAATATAAGTTCAAATGTTTTATCGTTTTTTTAAGAGTATTGTTTTGTATAGTCAATGTGACATCCTAGACTCGTATCCGGGTCGAGTATGGGTTGAGGGTGCTACATTTAATGGTATCAAAGCTATTTTTTAGCCGATTCTAAGCATAAATCAGAGTCTATAGAGTCTTTAAATAGAATACATGCCAACAAATAGTGAGAACTTCTGATCTGGTATAGTATGAGTACGTTGATTTGCTAATAGAATAGTGTGTTTATTTTATTAGATGTCTGGACATAATAGCTCCCGAAGTGAAGCAGGAGAAGATAGGCCTGCTAAAAGCAGTAATTCACCTTCCCTGGCCAGGCAAGGTGAAGGACAGACATCTCAGGGAGTGTTTGTACAAGACCAAGACACTTTCTTTAGGACGTTGGACGTTATTCCGATGCGTCTTCAACCTCCTACCCCACCAATTCAAAGAATGAATGTAGCAAAAGAGTTGAGAAGTTTGGGAGCTCTCGAATTTAAGGGAGAATCTGAGGAAGGTCCGGTTGCGGCGAATCTTTGGTTAAATGATTTGAAAATCATGTTGGATGGTCTCCACTGCTCTGAAGTGGAGAAGTTAGATGGAGTTATCTCGTTACTGAGGGGTCAGGCGAGAATATGGTGGACGAACGTCACCATGAGGATGTCAAGTGACAAGTTGACTTGGTCTTTGTTCTTAGATGAATTTAAAAACAAGTACATTGGAGATCAATTTATTCGGCAGATAAAGCAGGAGTTTATGAACTTGAAACAGATGAACTGCTCTGTATATGAGTATGAATGTGAGTTCAACAAGCTGAATTGGTTTGCATCTGAGCTTGTGCCTACTGAAAAAGATGCCTGTGAATGGTTTGTGGAGGGTTTGCGCCCTAGGCTTAAGGAAATGCTGATAGTATTAAAATTGTCCTCATTTCAGGAGGTGATTAATCGGGCAAAGGCTCTTGAAATGGCTCAAAATGAGAAATTCGGGGACTCAAGAGTTCAGACAGCAAAGAGGACGGGTGCTTCTTACAGCTCAGCCCCACCAAAAAGAGGAAGAGATTTAGGATTTCGATCACAAGTTAGATCAGAATCGGTTGCATCTTCTGCTAGAAGAGTAAGTCAGGAAAAACCTAGACAGACGCAGTCGGCGGGATCTGGTGCTATGAGATCCAATCAGGTTCAAGAAAGACAATGTCAGCATTATGGGAAAAACCATTTTGGGGCGTGTCGGATGGCTGCTGGGACTTGTTTCCGATGCAGAGATGTTGGACATTTTATCTGGGATTATCCGTTGATGGTTGGTGAACCTGCACCATCTGAGAGAGTTGGTTCTGCCTCACAGAGAGGACGAGAAAGAGGCAGATGAAGAAACCAGTCTGAATCCTTTGCTCAATATGAAGTTCGGTCAACCGCACGGGTATACAATTTAAAGACAAGTAAAGACTGTGATGATCCCGATATTATAGCAGGTACTTTCTAGTTGTATGATAAATTAGTGTTGGTATTGATTGATCCGGGTTTTAATTATACTTACATTACAAGTAAATTAGTAAAATAATTGAGGATCCCTTTAGAAGCCACGAGTAATGAAATTATAGTAACTAATCCTTTAGGGTATAGTGATCGGGTGAATAAATTCTATAAGGAGTGTCCCATAAAGATTCAGGGAATTGAATTCCCTGCTAATATGATGGAATTACCCTTTGACGAGTTTGAAGTGATTCTGG